ATTACTATTATAACTCGAATGTTTAAGACACCATTACAATATATTTAAACCCTTTTTCTTAATTACCTGGGTTTAATAGGTATTGCATGATTGGTGGGCAGGGTCAAAAAGGGATTATTATAATGACATGGCACCTCGGAACTAAGTGTTAACCCTTTTTTGAGAAATCATGCTCAAGTATATGAACCCAAATTGCATATTAAATAAGTTTACAAGAACCACTAAAATTAATCTTAATCTTTTTTTAAGAAATTTTACTTACCTAAATACATGTAGGTACTTAGTTTTAGACCAAATTACTTCCCAAAAATGGCCTTTTATTATTATCTATGTCTGTAATTTTTAATTTACTTTAATTATTAAGTTTAATAATCCTAAGATTTGCCTACGCCCATGGACGACAACGAAATTCAGGCAAATTTTATGACACTTCATGATTACTCTACACTCTTTTGAAATAGACTATAGTTAATAGTTAAGAAGACAGTGCATAAAATGGTCAGTTCATTGATGGATTACTTTACTATTGAAGCATCTATTATCTACGAAAAACCCATCGGGTCATTAAAAAGTTATTATCAACATAAAATTTCAACTACAATGATTCTTGAAAGTTTGAATTTTAATCAATAGTTTTTCAATCAAAAGTTTTTCCATCGTATCTCAATTAGTTTATGAGTTATAAACTGCAGGTTATTCAAGTCGAGCAAACAGATAACAGCTGATAACGAATGGCGAAGCTACTAGTATTTTGGGTAGCATAGAATGATACACAATGGACCGTCAATAAATTCAGAATGTAATGAAAACAGTTAACGCCAAACAAACAACGTCTCTGTGAAAACAACAGTCTATAGTCTACTTTCAAGATTGTGCATGAAACACAAAAATATAGAAATACAGATGACGCCTGATGGAATAATAGAGAAGATATTAATCGCAAACGTTAATTTAAATTATTGCAACTTACAGTTATAACAGAAATAAGTATGCCAAAAAAATATCCTGAATTCAATCAAAAAAATTATCAAAAAATAGTCACATTCAGAATGTAAAATGTTCATCATCAAACATTGGTTATACCATATCATTATTTGGTCAATGTTCTTCGTAAACTATAGGTTTCATTTCCATAAAATACAGTTATAATTAACAATAATACATTGATGAATTATTGAATGACAATTATGTGAAAACGCCAAAAATCAGGCAATCAATGTACTTGACACCCAATACAGTTGAATGTTTCCCATGAAATTATGTGATTTACTAAGAGAAGAAATGCTTTCAAAATTCTTCGAAAGGAGTTCAAACATATATTCCTTCATATTTCAAGATATATAGTAGGGAATACTTATGCTTTTAGTCAATTCACCTAAACCACTTTATTTAGTTTAGTATGTTATTTATCATTTGTGGTGTTCGCCGAAAAAAGGTACCTAGTGCACGAAAACAACTTTTCGAGAAAAATCCGTTTAAAGTTTCGCAATGTATTACTGCTGTATACACGCCTTAGATGTGGTGTAAGGTTCTGATATCATTAGTCTGGGTATCTGTGACGACATTCCTTCAATCTGCGATGTTTATTTTCGTTGTGGTGTGCCGGTAGCTTCAGTTATCGAGTCTGCGATTAGGCTACAATGCAGATGATTAAAGTAACGTTTTCGTTTCTGAATTTTCTATCTTATCACCACAAACGTAATTTCGTAATTTAGTTTTGTAATTTTCGTAAGAATTTCGTAATGAATCAATAATTTTCATAAATTTTAGTTCAATAAAATGAACCCTAGTGAAGATGAATCTTCTGCAAGTTCTGTTTTAAATATTACATCAGAAAATTGTGAAACGGTGTATGCTAAGTTTGAGAATTTGAATGATACACAACTGTAACTATCTTTTTCGGCAAACACCATGTTTGTCAAAGTTATTGTATAGTATGTTTCAATCTAAAAGGTATTGGCTTATCAACTGCAATAAACTACTTGTGTAATCCCTCTCTGAGAGACATAATTACCTGCTTTCTTATTATTGTGAAGCGAAGGGAGGGACTACATAATAGGATTGAACCAGGTAGTTTATTGTAGTTGATGAGCCAATACTATTTAGAGTGAAATATACTATACCTCAATTGTTAATTGTCAATATTTGCAAAATGATGCAAAAATTTTCCCTAAACCAGTAGAATCTGTCAGAAAATATATGTCATTACATCAAATAAAACGTAACCAATGTTCCTTAATGAAATCAACAACACGTTCACCAATCATAACAACACTGGCGTGCGTATTTCCAGACACAACTTTGGGCATAATAGAAGCATCTGCGATCCTCAATTTCTTGATTCCATAAACACGAAGTTTGTTGTCAACAACTGCGAAACGGTCTGTTGGTGGGCCCATTCTACAAGTGCTGGTTTGGTGGTTTTCTGCAACCGTAGAATGACCAATAGAACATTTCCAGAAATCATCTGAAGCAACAAATACTCATTGATTATTAGAATACAAAAATGAATTATTTCGTTTTCATTTTGTCTTTATGAGCTGACATAACTTTCAATTTAAATTTTTTTCCACGAGGGGATATTTATCTCCAAATTATACTTTTGATTCAACACTTTCATTCATTCAATTTCAATTTCGAATATTTGAAACTTGCATTCAAACATACCAGTAATCAGAAATGTTCTCACTTGCATTCGATCAATTGGGCCATATTTTCATGAGCCATTTCCATTCACCTTATTATGATTTTTTTTCTTAAATATACTGTAATTCTCGAAAATTTTTATATAGTTACTAAACTAAGTATGAGTGAAAAAACTCATAATTTTTCTAAAAAAATTAACTTCAAACGTTCAAGCCAGTCTCGAATATACCTACACAGTAGGTTGAATGGACAGACGCCTAACGAAAACAACTACTTCCCTGGCTAATACCACGAAGGGCGTTGGATTATATCCGACAGGCGTCAGTGCAGAAATCTTCAGAGAAAATTTCCTGCATATGCAATTGGCAATACAACTGAAAGATTCGACCTTCAATTTTGAAACGGGCACTCTTGCAGACCGGTTTCGGACTCATTAGCCTCTCATCAGTGTAAGATAGTGGCCATCATCGACCTAAAGTCAATGATATTTCATAATGAAAAATCGGAATTCTTTCAGAGTATTTCATTCCTTTTCCTAAGTTGAAGCGAAACAACAAAATGTCACTCCATCTAGTGGACGAGGTACTAACCAACTGCATATTCCGATTCCTCTGAATAAGAAAGAAAAACTTTCTTATTAGTCAGTGGAATATGCTTGAAGACTGGCAGTAAACAAATCTAAAGAAATGAACTTTAAACGTTCAAAGTCTGCAAGGGTGCCCGTTCCAAAATTGATGGTCGACTCTTTCAGTGGTATTGCCAATTGCATATGAAGGAAATTTTCTGTGAAGATTCCTGCACTGACGCCTGTCGGATATAATCCAACGCCCTTCGTGGGGTAAAACAATCAATTTCAAAACGATAACTCTCGACAAAGATATGTAGATTACGCAAAGAAGTAACTTTCAGGCACAAACTGAAAGAAAAGGTCGTCTCAAAATATCTACCATCATATAAATATTGAATTACACGAAAGGAAAATACTTTCGAAACATATGAACGCTGAATTATATGAAAAACACGTTTCTCTATTCGATTAGTATTCCTAATATTCGTTATGGAATTCAATCAGAAATCATTCATAGGATTGCTACACAATGTAGTGAATGAAAAAGTTAAATATCAATTACATCAATTACTCTCATTCTCAATGGTGGACATTCAATGTTTCAGAATAAGACACAAAAGCTATACTTATGTCCAAGTCGAAATGAAATCGTTAGATGATCGACCTGAGTTATGATTCAATGGTAATTCATTAACACTTAACGAAGACAAATTTAGAAATCACAGGTTGAAAGGTAAGACCTCCTTAGTTCTTAGCTCGTACAAGTTTCGACTTCTGAGGGTTGTTCTTAGGGGTACGACATTTGGTTAACGGAAAAACATATTTTAAACATAATTAAACAAATCTAAGAGTCTAGTATTCTCAACTGATTATACAGTCACGAAAGGTGATCGTGCAAAACTTATCGGCATACTGACCTGGTCTCAGCACATTGATGATATCTACTCTAAATTTAATGTGAACTGAAATGTTATGTCGATGAAAACTATCTCCTATCTGTCTAATATTCTTTTATCCATTCGACTGTCAGCTACGGATTGACATTTTGGGGTAAATGTTCTAATATTGAGAAAGTATTCAAAATCAAGCAGTGAGGATAATTTCAGATGCTGTAAGTAGACACTCATTCGGGTATTTATTTGTACGTTCAGATAGTATGTCTTTGCTGCTACTATTCATTCATTTATGCTCAGTGGAAATCCATCCGAATGAAAATGAACTGACAGAAACTCTTCTCATCATATGTATAATAGGGTTAACCATAGTTTTTTCTAATCTCTATCACAAATCAAATACTTATGTTTCAATGATTATATTTATTTTTTATTGAACTTTAAAGAATCAAATATAATATCATGGACATAAAAGTAACAATTTCTAATGAATGGGTGAAATAGAATAGGTGGAATCGGTGAAATATCTTCTAAAATTCGAAATGGGGTGTAATCTTAATATTTACTGAACGAAGCCTTTTTTAAAGAGCTGGGTGTAAAATATTAGACATCGTGGCAGTTTTTACGGAGACGTCTGATTTTGTAGAAACAATTTCAGGGCTACAGTTTGTATCACTTCTTAGTTCATGAGAACAACCTGGTATAGTTTCTTTTTCATTGTCCATAGCAGATGTTCAGTGGGGAAGCAGTTGAAAATATGCATTTACTTCTGCTCTATTCATGGCGTTGACTCTAACCAGAGAAACTCCTTCTGACTTCCTCAGTGTAATATCAATATGTCTATGCTTTAATTCAACTGTTCGGCTGATTCGTAAACTATTTTTCTCACGTCATTCATCGTTAAAGAAAAGCCTTGTTTTAATTTGAGTAACAAATTTCTTCTGATTCTCTTCTCCAAATAAAGTAGATGGTTCCATAGATCCATTTTTGTCAATAATTTTCTTTGTCTTCCTTTCAAATGTTTTTCTAGGTATTTGGTCCTGAAGACGTGTACGGATACTCCATCATTTTTTTCAGCATTAATAGCTGCTTTCAATGATTATTCCGACCAGTTTCCTCTCACAGGCACTGCCTTCCTCTTATATTCATCAGGCATCTAAAACAGATACAAAATAATGGACTTCTGGAACAGGTAAAAAGTACAAAAAGTAATCTATTATTTGCATAATATACCATTTCTGTATAGTGGCCCCATGGCCATCAGATACCGACTGCAATTGGCCATCCCCCCTTTTTTTTTCGGGAGAGATGGCCACAACATAAACTTAACCAAGGAATGACACGAAACAAATAATTTTGAGGTTGAAACGTAGCATTCTTCATATACTTTGCATCAAATACAAATATCACTATTATTTTGAGAAATTGACAGCACAATTGTATAAAACAATTGACATAAAAAAATTTCACAGTAGGCGAAACAAAAAACATAGGATTTACTTACTTTTTCTTTTTTTTGCCAAATATTTTGCCGTACCGTTAGGCCTGGCGCACATTGAGACACATGCAACGCAACCCACGTAGGGCAGCGCAAACGACGCAGTGCACGAAATTCGTGGGCTGTATTGGCCTACGCATATTGTCTACACGAATTATGTTGTTTCCTGAATAGAAGGTAGTTTTAAAATGAAAAGTAATCATGGAACATTTATTACTAGATTTTAGTTCCGAGTCAGATTCGGATGCAGATTGGGAAACAGAAGTTTTGCTGTACGACCTATCGAAAAAAAGAAAAAAAAATATTGGAAAAGCAATTACATGAAAAAAAGGCAAAGTCATGGCGAATTTAATTTGTCATCTGAATTTTCGGACTCAAAGTTCACTAATTATTCCCGACGAAATAAACATTAGTTTAATGCAGTGCACAATATAATATAAGAGACAATTTATTCTGAAGGTTGTAATGTGGGAAATGTATTTAATGTAAATTTAAAATTTATTTATTTAAAAAAAAACAGGAATGCATTTTTGTTAAACTGGAAAGTTATGAAAAAATGATGCGGTGTCTTCGGACCGCGCACTGATTGTCTCTGGTGCCACTGGAGACTGTAGGGGTGTGCTAGTAACAGATGAGTAGGAAGTATGAGAGTATGATGTTGAAGGGCTGTAGGCTCTCTGCGGTGTTGGTTGAAGCTGGTGCAAAATTGGAGTCTGGGGACAAGTTTGTGAAACATTTTGTCTTGAAGAAGGACCCATCTGTAAATATTTAGCTTCTACTTCTAACACTGCTTGATGTACTCTATTTCTTATGACATGTTGGTATGTAGAAGGCATTTCCTTTGCTATTTCATACATGGCCAAAAAAAAATTTGAAGTTCATCAAGTTGAGGCTTTACTGCCTCTTCACCGGCTTTTTTTCTTTCAATTGCCCGTTCTTCAGCTCTTTTTTCCTGCTGAATCATCGACTCCTTTATTATGCTGGCTAAATCTTTTTTCATTCATTTATATTTTTGAACAATAGTTTCCGACATTGATATAGAAGTATCAGAATTACTTACTGTATTTTCATTTAGCAACATGTTCGGTTTCGGTATTCTCCTCTGCGGACAAGTTTTCAGTGTTTCCATTTTCATTAACTGAAGTATCAATGTCTGCATTTTGAGGCAAATCCTGTGTTTGTTCTTTTTCGCTTTACTGCTACACGGTCACTCTCGACAAGACAACATCCTCCTACGAAGCTGTAACCAGGGTGGAAAACAATAACTATCACAAGTGAGCTGTATTGTTATTCATACTGTTTTTTCTGGCTAAAACTAAATCAAGTTTTTTTTCTATCACCTATATCAGGGATCTCCAAACTACGGCTCGCGGGCCAAATCCGGCCCGCCAGTGTCATCAATCCGGCCCGCGACAGCCAATGATTTACTGTCATCAATCTGGCCCGCGACAGCCAATGATTACCTAATTGTTGTTACTATTGCTGTGATAAGTTGAAGAAGAAAACACAGAATGATAATTACTTGGTTTTATTTACTTGCAAGGTAAAACTTAACGACAGAAATGATGAATCACTGAACCATTCTAACACCTTTTCATCAATCTGTTAAAAAAAATCTGTTTTTCCGTTAATCAGCTGTCGACATTCTTTGTGTAATTAATCTTGGAAAACGTTTTCTCACACAAGTAAGTAGTACCAAAAACAGAAAACAACCCACGAGCAAATTTATGCTAATTATCAAATTGTTCCAGTGGAAGACTCTTATGAAATTCCAATAAAGATGAATTTTGATATTTGTTCTTGAGCATATCACTGCACCGTAAATCAATAATTTCCATTTGGACTTCCGGAGCCAGGCTTTCAATGTCAGAATCAAAAGGAATTTGAAAAAGCTCAATTTCATTCACAATGACATCAAAATCTGAAAAACGAGTATCAAAATTTAGGTATCTTCAAAGCACTCAAAGTTTCGATTGCAAAATTGACGGGAAATCCAGTCTCTGTAGTGTGGCTGAATATTTCACATGTTTCAAAATGTGTGAAACATTTTTTACGTAATTGCGATTGATTGTTCCGCTCATTTAATCGACCGTTAGGTGAAACGCTCGTTCGAGCCGCAAAGCCAGATATTTTTTTCTCACTGCCTGTCGTCCAACCCGTGCTAGGTATTGCACGTTGGAAGGTTATACCTTGTTAATCTTAAGGTCACACAAGTTTCGACTTTTGAGGGTTGCCGTTCGAAGGAGGGTGACAGCTGTTTACCAGAGGAACTGATTTGTACAGATGTCATCAGTGATGTTTTTTTGGTATGGAAAATTCTGAATATCTTATGAATCCCAGCTGAATGTCAAGAAAATTCTATTTTATGATTAACTGTACAATATTTTTTCATCTGTACTTTGACATTGATTTTTCGCGATGTATCTACTTTATAATAAGAGCTCAAAGAATATATGGGAAGATGAAGCCAACGAAAAGGATTTGCAAGAAATGTTATCACAGTCGGTCAATGTCAAATCCGACCTGGCATGACATCGTAGATTTATATTGCGGTACAACAGGCGGCCGTGTTCGTGATCGGAGAACTTGAAACTCTGATGAAATATTCAGAAGTGGTTTTCTCCCAATATGCTTTTTGATGATTTTGGTAAGAAGACATGTGACTAATTTATTCAATGTTTTTCTTTTTGAGTATGCTCTCAATAACTCACGATATCGAATTGAGGTAATACGCTCTTCTTCGATTTTCATTCAAAATGCATATACACAGGGTGTTTATTAATCATTCAGCAAAAATTCAAGGGTCTAATCCTTGGACTATTCTAAGGATATTTTGTCCTTTGATGATTTTTGATAGGTGCTTTGTTTCGAAGATGCGGAGCGAAAAAAAGTTCGACAATAACAATTCATTACCAAAAATTACATGTGATGTTTCTTAATCTACAGGAACTGTTAAAAATTGCCACTTTCCGCTCGGATGCAAGAATCCAATCTTCTTCTCATCGACTCACGANTTTTTCAGCTGATCTTTTTAATTTTTCACAGATTCTTTCAGGGATTTCTAATCAATTTATATCATATCAAACAATGGAAACCCTAATTCATGAAATGCACAACGAAACATTGTCAACCACCTTCAAACAAATCGAATCACGGTAGTATCATGAATGGCTGAACTAATTCATATATTTCTAATTAGAGCTATCAGACATGAACACAAAATTGTGAATATTTTTCTCTTCAGACTGACAGTTGGGATATATCCGAATTCATGGCTATATACCGTCGATCAGTTCCATCCTTTCCTTCCGCTATTCATCAAAATTCATCGACGACTCCCCACACAAATTCGCCAATATCAACCCGAGCACACCTCAATAATTCAGCTCAACTACATTTTTCCTTACGACCGTCGTAAAAAAGACCATACCATAACAAAATCTTCGTCATTCCCGATGCATATTAGCCGTAATCTCTGATCATAAACCATCACAGCTTCACATGACATACGGGAATATAACGATTTTAAATCCCCGCCACGCAAGATGAATACAGATATGGAAAAAGGACTATTAAATGCCAGACTTATTTTTCATCCAAACTTATTTTTCATAAGGGCGCGTCGTTTTATTTTCGCGGAATATTTGATTAATGACGTGCTTTCAATTTTTTTCACGCCTCGGTACGCCGGTGTCGTTGAAAAAGTAGGCAGTTTTTTCCACGCATGGTTTCTGTTTGGGATATGCTGAAGTTTATGCCGCGATACGGTCCATTGGGCTTCTATTGGAATATTAGGTTTGAAAAATGAACAAAGCTTCCACAATTAGGTGATAACAAAAGGGATTTCACGATGAGTTTGCAATACAGAATATTTCATTTTTCATCATACCGTTTTTCTGGCGCGAAAGAACCGAAGTCTTTTTCGTCACTTTTTAGATCTTCGCGACATTCGATTCAATGAGGAAAGTGAGTCGAAGAATTCCAGTGTTCTGGCAGTGAAACGCGAAAAAGTGCAAGATACGTCTTTCAAGTTTCTTCACCACACGTAATATCACTAATGCATGTCCCTGATTGAAATTGAAGTGGTTTGAGACGTGAATCAACGACCCAGAAAACTTTTTGTCTGGTATCTTTATATTAATTAGCTTTTATGTCACCACATCTTGTAATTGGCCGTCTGTTTTGCTGTTCTCAACCTACCTAACACTAAATGAAAAACTGACCTCCCAAAAACCTAGAGAGAATATACCTGAAAATATTGGTTGGAGAGATACCTGAATAATTGTATTCTGAAATCTTGAGATACAATGGTTGCCTTTTATATTTCGAGATTAGAGAACGAAAACAAATATTAATCATCGGAAATCACTTTATTGTTTTCCATAATATTCCCCATGAAGATCTATACACTTTAGCATGCATTAAACCAATTGTTGAAGCACTTTTGCCACTCTGATTAAGGTATCTCCAAAACATGCATTCTGAATGCAGCAACCGCTCCTTCAGGTGTCAGAAAACGTCGACCTCTCAGTTTGCTTTTTACGTACGTGAATGAAAAGAACTCATTTGGTGACAAGTCAGGACTATACGGCGGATGACTCATCAAATCGATGTTTTGGGTGCTCAAATATGCAATTGTTTGATCCGATGTGTGAGAGATCGCATTGTCGTGGTGAAGAATGATCCGTTTTCGGCGGTTGGTTTTACTGATTTATTAGAAGACAACTGGCAAACAAATGGTTATGTATCTATCAGAATTGACTGTTCTGCGTTGTTCTAGTGACACGGTTGCGACCATTTGCTTGGAAGTGCTTCTTGCGCGAACAA